GTTCGTTTGTGTATTCTGGACTGCAGTTTGCGCCAGAAGCTTATTGCTGATCTTCATGGCACTAATCATGTGGGCCGCGACAGGTCCGTCGAGCTGGTGAGTCGCTCTTATTTTTTGCCTTCTTTGCGCCGTGATGTTGGGCGTTTTGTGTCTCGTTGCCGTGTCTGTCAGATATCGAAAGGTGTTGCCACGAATGCTGGTTTATACCGTCCCCTTCCTATTCCGTCATAGCCATGGCAGGCCATCAGTATGGACTTTGTGTTGGGATTGCCTCGTACTCAGAGGGGTTTTGATTCGATTTTTGTTGTGGTGGATAGATTTTCGAAGATGGCACACTTCATTCCGTGTAAACGGACCACTGATGCTGTCCATGTGGCCCAGTTGTTTTTTCGGGAGATCTACCGCCTTCATGATCTGCCTTCGGCGATTGTCTCTGATCGCGATACCCGCTTCTTGAGCTATTTTTGGAGGAGTTTGTGGCGTATGGCAGACACTAGACACGACTTCAGCAGTGCCTATCATCCTCAGACGGACGGTCAGACTGAGGTGGTGAATCGTTCCTTAGGGAACTTGCTCCGTTGTTTGGTGGGGGATAACATTCGCAGTTGGGACCAGCGCCTGAGTCAGGCGGAGTTTGCGCATAATTCGGCTCTTAGCCGTGCGACCGGGTTCACTCCTTTTCTTGTGGTCTATGGCATCCATCCGCGCGGGCCGTCCAGCTTAGTGGCGTTGCCGTCTGACAGCAGTGGCGATCGGCGTGCTTCGGATTTCATCGCCGATGTGCAGCAAACACACGAGGCAGCCCGGGCCCGGCTGGAGGCGACTACGGCTTCTTATAAGAAGCAGGCTGATACTCGTAGTCGCCACGTGGAGTTTGAGGTAGGTGATTTTGTTTGGGCTGTCTTGACGAAGGATAGATTTTCTGCTCATGAGTATAATAAATTATCTGCTCGGAAAATTGGTCCGGTGGAGGTTGTGGAAAAGATCAATCCCAATGCCTACCGTCTTAAGCTTCCGTCCCATATTCGCACTTCGGACGTTTTTAACGTCACGCATTTGGTGTCGTTCGAGGGTGACAACTCGGACGAAGACGAGGCCCATTCGGATTCGAGGGCAAATCCTCCTCAACCCAGGGAGGATGATGGAGACGAGGCCGCGTTGATGTTCTTGCAGAAATATGACCGTTTGCGTGTCTAACACATTTATTTTATTGCTTTATTTTCCTTTTGGGTCTATTTATCTTTAGTGGTTGCAATTGTGTTATTTTATTAGTACGGGGGTGTTTCTTTAATTATTAAGATTTATCGTGCTTTAGTAGAGTTAGTGGAAACTCCTTATTTATGTACTGCGAACAGAAGAGAAAAGACAGTTTATCGATTGAAATAAAATTATCTGTTCTCTCTTGAGATTGTTCTTTTCCCTTTCGTATACATCCTCTACATCACTAAGGTTGCTCCAAGACCACCGAAGCTATCGACACCATTTTTTGACTGAGGCTGGCAACAAAAAACGCACATTCATGTTCAGAAGAGGAAGAAAGAAGAAAATAAGGGTAAAAATTCTCTACAACATTGAGACAATTAGACATAGTATGATCTCCTATCAAACAGTTGGAAAGACGAAAGGAAAAACAGCTTAACATTTTTAAAAAAAATTGACCATTTAAATTTAAATTCGTACTACAAAATGAAACTAAAGATAATGGCAATAAAAAATCAGTAAAAGCTATACCTGGAGTTCATCATGACCCCAAGCATAGTTTTTGTATGAACTCCATGCATGAATCATAGCATCTTTAACTTTCTCTCTTCGTTCAAGGTCAATTGGATCATCGAAACCACCTAAATTCTTACTCACTTCATTAGTGTGACGGTCATTTTCCTTTCCTGCTCCACTTTGACCAGCTTTTAGATCTTGAAGCTGAAATAACAGCTAACTCTTAAGTCATATACTTACTAAAGACAAAAGAAAATAGAGCATTGTAAAAGAAACTTTTATTTGTTCAACTCAATATAAAGAGTTATTGGCATAGACTGATAGACATACATAAAATCAATCCAATTCTTCCTAACCTGAACATACGAATATCACAAGAGTAACCATAATTCAAGAATCCAGAGTGGTTTGAATGTAAAACCATTGAGATGAAAAAGTTGGTGACAACGCATCTAACACCTCTATAAGAAGACACATGAATAACCTTAAGAAGAAGAAAAAACAATAAATCGAATAACTTACTTGACTTTGTAACCGATTAACTTCATCACTCAATTTAGACAGCTCTTCCTGCATAATAATAAATGATTCAGTTAAACGCAATGAACAAAAGAATGCACTTCAAACCCGAATAAGGTAACAAATCACCCATAAAAGAAAATAAAATTGATTTTTTTTTTAATACACACACAAAGAAGAAGAGAACTATACAAGGCAATTTATTCCCATTCAAAGGTATCTATGTGACATTGACGATTAACCATATCAGATCAAAATTCCAATTAAATTATGTGGGCATACAATATGACATAAAACTAGTGAATTCTAGAACAAAACCATGCTCCAAAAATCATCGGAAATGCGCATCTCCTCGTATTAACCGGCAGAGCTCAACGCAAAAGTGCGAATCGTGGTTCTAAGTCCCCGGAGTTAAAGTTGCACAGTCACCATCACCAATAACAAAAAACCACATTGTGCATTAACCACGAAAAAATCCTAAACTCCTGCAGTAATCACTGTCAGAACTCAGAACCGACAACAAAAGGAACAGTAGACTGATAAACCATAGCCTAGGAAAAACCGAACACCCTAACAAAAAACTCGCAGATCCTTTAACCACACCAACACATGAACAATGCGTCTCTAAATCCCAATAGACAAAAAAAAAATATATAATATTTCCGTTTGGTTTGATTTTTTCGAAAGAGTAAAAAAAAAATGTCTTACTTACCATTGGATGAGCTAGATCGGGAAGATCTTGAGATGTTGGAGGGTTTGGAAAGAGAACTCACACCATGGGAGAAAACTTATCTAGATGAGCTTCATGAGCGAAGGAACGTAGAAGAATACGAGCGACAACTCGTAGAAGCCCGAGAAGCAATGGTGGTCGATGTCCAAAGCAATGCTGATGATGGTGCGCTGAATTTTCTAATCCTTGAGGACAAGGAAAGTCTCGAAGAGGAGGGGAATGATACGGAAGTGGTCATCAACCCAGGCGAGTCAGAGAATGAGGATGGCGACGATCTCAACATATGGTTGGAAAACATGCTAGAGGAGCCATCAAGTCAAATATATCGACCTTCTTGTGTAAGAGATTGGCAAAAAGGATGTGGTCCGAAGTCAAAAGTCAAATCTAGGAAGTACAAGGCCAAGCAAGCTCGAAGGAAACACAAAGCAAAGGCTAAGGAAGGGAAGTGTTGGTGCAAGCCTTGTACGAGAAAAAGACAAGTTTGGAAGATGGGAGGTCGAAGGAGAGGTAGGCAAAGAATGGAGGATGGATGGGTATGGCGAGCTGGAGATTGTATTGGGTTGGAAGGATGGGACCCATGGCCATCGGACGAGCAATTGAGGTCAATCGGCGATGGAAGGGCGAGCACGAGC